AGCTGGATAGTTCATCATTCCGGTGCCTAAAGTCAATATGTCTTCCAAAATAGAAATCCATTCTCCGACCTGTCCCTCCACCCTCTCTTCACTTTGATGTGTGGGTGTCTGGGTCTTACATCAGACATCGGGGTCAAAGCCTGAAAAGCCAAGTCAATTTCCAGACAGACATCAGAGGCAGAGGCTCCTCCGTCACAGGTAGAGCCGGAGCAGCGGCGCTGCAACCTCCTCATCCGTCAGCCCTGAAAGGAACAGACAGCTCGGCTAAAACCGTTTCATTGTTTGGGCTTGTTGCAAACATCGATTCACCAGCCGGAGTGCAGGCGAGCCGAGCGCTGAGTCCTCCAGGTGCTGCGATGAGGATCCGCATGTCTGCACATCAAAGACTAGAGAGAGAGAGAGGACGGAGAACCACAGAGCTGCTCCCCGTTTTAACCATGATTATATATATTTATAACTTTTCCATATAGAAAAAAAACACTTAATGTTGAAAGAAAACACAAGACAAAATAGGTTTACAATATTTATATTATTCAAAAAACACAAAGTGTAGATAAAAAAAGTTTAGACAGAGGCACAAGCTTACTGTATCAGGTAAAGACAAACTGAGTAAAGTTACCTCTGTTTACTATAACTACAGTTAAGGTGCTTTTATTTTGGTAGGTCACTTGTTAAGGTAGCTATGGTAACGGAAAACCCTTAACCACAATACATGGTTCTCATGTGACATCACACTTCTGCAACCTTTGTAACTGACAGCCATCTTGGCAGGCAGTTGCTATGGAGTTCCTATACAACAATAAAAAGCCACAAGTTCAGAACCAGCTCTCGTCTCGTTCCTAACTTATAAACAATTACAATTTTGGGGTATTCTACCTGCCTCTTACTGTGGTACTTACTGCTTACTTAGCTTAGCTGACGTAGCTTTTATCTCCTAGCTTATCTCACTCTGCCAGTCACCAGAACCTTGTTACTTATATATTTTTTAATTCATCCGAAGAGTTTGTACGTCCTTTACAAATCCATTTCAACACTGATTGTATGCGTCCATAGATTTCTCGCCGTGAAGCTCTTCCATGTTGTTGGCGCTCTTTATGTTCACTAAGTAGTTAATTACATCATAGTAGATCGCAGGCTTGGCTTGTACACATCGTCTGACATATTTTCCTTCTCCTTCTCATACTGGTTGATTTCAACAGCAGCCATTATGCTCATGTGACTTTCTCTGGTGGTGAAGAGTGTCAACATATTTTATTAGTCTCAAGGCCATGGGTCTGTGATGCTTTGTATATGCACTTGCCTACTAAGTTGGTGCTGATCACTTCCGGTTCAGAGTTGACTGAGCTCTATAGCAACAGCTGTGCAACTGTAGCCTCACAACCCAGCATCACATTCGCTCCATCACTTCCATGTCCAACAATCTGAGCCATGGCGACCCCACGACCCGACAGCGGCGCATGTTTTAATTTTTCTGTGATGCATTCAGCAGTACCAGACAAAATGGCATACCTGCCGATGAACGCAGTTTCAGGCTCCTCTTTGCAGGTTATGATCTTCGCTAATGGTATTCTGAGCATTGTACACCATGGAAAATGATTTCTTGTTCAGAAAATATTGTATTTCATTCAATAGTTTTAACGTTTCTGTATCTCCATGGCGACAGGAAGTCACACCTGGCTGGTTCCGACTGGTTCCTGTGTGATTCAAAGCCCTGTTTACATGCCTTGGGTTGGTTGTGGTTTGAGTTTAAAGCTAGGGTCCCTCTTTTCTGTTTTAATCTTTTTTTTCTTTGAACTCCACTGAAGTCAAATGTAATAAACTTCTCAGTGTAACCAGGTCTCCAACATCAAATGAATGCAGGAGTTGGTAATAATGCTTCTTTTCATGTCTGCTTCAGCTGAATGCTGCGATCTCAGGCCCACTGTGGATTAATTGCTTTGGATGCAAAAGAATTTTTAATTTCTTCACTGAACCTTGTTTAAAAAAATAAAGAAGAGAGAATGCACATTTTTGGTCTTTTTATGTGAGAAAACTTGCAGGCACAACAATTACTGACATTTTTTGTAACATCAAACTGAAACGTTTCATATCGCAAAATATGGTAATAATTTTCATTCATTGGCACATTAGATGAGATTGTGAATGTTTTGTTTCTTGTGCATTTTTTTTAATTCACTATAAAATTGAATTATATGACTCACAAAGTAACAACATCACATTAATAATCTTCATTTTGCCAGTCTGGATTCAGCAGTCAAAATGGAGAGGATTATAAGGCCACTTAAAACTAATTTAAGTCCATCTTTTTACAAAGAGGAAGTTTGTTACTAAAGGAAAACATTTTAATGACCAGAGTTCCAGCGCTCCAATAAAAAACAAAATAAAAAAAGATAACTTTTCTGAATTTCTAATGATGGATTTCACAGCAATAATTAAATAAATGATTAAAAAGTGACCTGAAAATAATGTGAGGTCCAATGATGTCAGAGGGGCTGACTGTAGCCTTCACAAAACCATTAAGAACCTGACTGATCAGTGGCAGCCCACCTGCTAATGGGCTAATAACTGCATTATTGTCGGAAATTTTGCTAACTTGGAAAGCGTTTAGCGCACCTAGATTCCCCTAAATAATTTTTTCAAGATTCATGCTAAAGCACTAATTTACTTGGCTGTTTTGTAAACTTTCAGTTGAATAAAGTTCGGCATCTGTGTTTCAGTTTTGGTTATGGACTGTTAAGAATTATTCAAGTAGTTTAGACGTTTATATCGATGCTCTTATTTTGAAGTGGATACAGCGGTTTCCTCTCCTCACATCCTCCATGCGGTGTAGCAAACGACGGTTATTCTGTACCCAGAATGCATCGTTCTGTAGTTCTACAGTAAATAGTTAAAATCTGTTGATGTCCTGCTTCCCTTCTGACCGGAGACCCAAACCACCTACAAAATGAACAGGTAGGTGTGCAGTAACTAATTTGTTGAGGGCGATATAATGTGTTGTATGTTGGGTATCAACGTGGTTCAAATTAGCGCTTTAGCATCGCTGTTGGTATTGACCTATTACTACTATGTTACTTAGGGACTGGAGGGAGTTTTGAACACAAACTCCAAACTTTACAACTTTGGAAATTGTTTTCCAAAGTTGTTTTTCCCAGATTAGCCACGGTTTCTACTTGTTCAAATCAAGCTAATTTAGCTGTGACGTAACACACTTGGTTTGGACTCATAGACGGCGGTTATTACAAAGGTAGTAAATATGTTATATGTCAAAGAAGGTTATTGAAATTGGGGGATTTTTTGTTAAATTCGTGTTTTTTTCTCGGACCAGTCAGGCGCATAAGTTATTTGTGAGTCAAGTTTTGGTTGTTACTATATAGAATACCATCACAAAACATTATTAATAATAATACGACATCATAAAATAGATTTTTTATTTCTTTTGTATTGTTCTCTGGAAAAGTTTGAAAACTTACCTTGAAAATGCTTGAAAAGTTCTTGGATTTTACTGTGGGAAAAATATTAGATTATGCAGTTAGAACCAAAAAATTTGCATTATGATGTACACAGAGTTCATTCATTGATTTAAAAAAAAGTTTATTTTATTTAATTAATCAAATGTAAACAAAAGCCTGCAAATCTCACTGAACAGAAAATTAAATATAATTTTTATTCCACTTGTTTTTTTTTTTGTTTTTTTTTGTTTTTTTTTACCAGAAACATGAGCAATAGATGGAGACGATTTCGCACAGCAGTGTGTGAAGTTCACATCAAACACAAATATGGATGAAAGACAAAGCACCTCTGCTGTATGTGCCGTTACTTGCAGCAGAGTTCATTAGTGTGTGAGTGGAAATAAAGGCCCTGCGTTTGGGGATTTCCCCCCTTCCAGCGCGTTGCCTCAACACGAACGCCGCCGCTGCACAAACGCATGGCTGAGGGCGGATTCTTATCAGAGCCCAGATCCTGTCGTCTTTCCACACACGGGTGGAAGTTCCTTCTCCTTAGCTCACTGCGTACGTACAGTGATGGAAATATGGCTTTGATACGTATAAAAACTGATTTATGGCTCCACTTTTATCACGGCTCAGTCAGAGCAGCTGCCCCAAGCGCTCCGTCCTGTGGAGAGGTATTTTTGGGGAGGAAACCACCTGCTTTGATTTACGGCCCCTAAAAGCTGAAAGCTGTGGTCTGGACTGACGAGTGTAAAAGCCCAGACATCTCTCTTCAGTTTGGTCTGAGCTCTGAGAAGACCATATCCCACTGTCCTATATGAAATAAGTTTATCAAAAAGTTACAGTCTGGAGTGTGACACAGTACTAAAATTGATTTACTTATTGGGGCAGTATTATGTCAAATTGAATGTTTTCAGGCGCTGCACAGTGGTGCAGTTAGTAGCACTGTTGCCTTGCAGCAAGAAGGTTCTGAGTTCGATTCGATTCCTTTCTGCATGGAGTTTGCATGTTCTCCCTGTGCATGGTGGTTTCTCTCTGGATGCTCCGGCTTCCTCCCACAGTCCAAAAACATGACTGTCAGGTTAGTTGGTCTCTCTGAATTCTCTTTGTGTGCATGGTTGTTTGTCCTGTCTGTCTCTGTGTTGCCCTGCGATGGACTGGCGACCTGTCCAGGGTGACCCCGCCTCTTGCCCGAAATCACGATAGGCACAAGACCTTCTATTACAGAAATGCTGTATATATATCAAATATGACTTAAAAGAAGTTTACTTCCTGATTTACCACCTTGAAAAAGGCCTCTGTCTCTTTAAGAAGCTCCTGCTCTTTCTGAAACTCTGACTTCAGGAAGCCCTACATGGCTTCTCTATTAACTTGTTAACGTTTTTACCAACGTTTTTGCTCTGAGCAGTTCCACCAGGTGTTTGCTAATTGCTGCTGGCTAGTCTGAAGGAGCTGAGTGGGGGAGGAGCTGCGCCTCGAATGCGGGGCTACATCCACTCAGGCGTTCTGCTCAGCTGAATAGTTGGGATTTCTCAAACATGCATGAAAGAATCAAAGCAACACTCAGGTTTGTTTTTCATGAGGGATTAACATTATAATGTAATGTAAAGCTAAAAAAAGTCAATTTTACATGACACTGTCCCTTTAAGATGATTCTGTTACTCATCAAAACGTTTACGTTGATAAACTTTGTGGTGTTTTGTGTATTTATCGGTTCAACAGTTTGGGACGTCCTCCAGAGATGCTCGCTAATGCTAGCACTAACCGGCGCTGTGAGATCTGCATTGGAAATGCGTTTTGTCTCCCGGGGCGACGGGCCCTCCTTCATTGTTTCACGGCTATCTTGACACCCACTCACCAGAATGGAGGCACGCCGCACTGAACCCTGGGATCTGCGATGCTGCCACCGATAGGCACAGCATCGGCGCTGATTCCATTAAGCTCCAAATTAAAGCAGGCACATCAAAGGGGCCTGCGAGGAGGCAGCGCAGAGATGTGACGGGGGAGAGGGGAGCAAAAATGAGTGAGGGGAGGAAAAAAAAGAAAAGAAAAACCTTCTTTATGCAATCCCCGAACGTGACAGAGCCTAATCCAAATCAATATCTGTGAGTGGTGCAGTGTTGCTACAATGCTAGTTTGGAACACATTAGCAGAAGATGAAAGCATGAAAGTGGTTAGCTTGATGAAAATGTGTCTTTTATGTCATGAGACAAAATTAGGGAATTCTGTAAGAGCTGTCATGCATTCTTGTCCCGTTGTTGTTGCGCAGGAGCTGGTGGCGGCGTCTTTTCAGGCCTGATGTGTGATTTTTATCCCCGTCTCTAAAGCCTCTTCGTTGTCAGAGCAGCGATAATTGAACCGCTCTCACCATCAGGCATGTCGGAAAAGCTTATGTGACCTTTTCATTCAGATAATTCAAGTACAATAAAGTGGGAAACAGATGCAGTTAAGCCCAAAATTATTCACACCTCTGGCAGATTTAGATTTTTATTTCATAGAACATCTAAATCACAGATGTAAAGATTATTGTGATGAATTGGAGCTCAGTTGTTAAAAAACAGCGGAAACATTGAAAAAGCAAATATAAAGAGCTGCAGTGAGTAAATATTTTTCCATTAACCTGTCTGTCACTAGAGGACCCAAATTTGGGTCCTCTAGTGACAGGGGTGTCAAACTCCAGTCCTCAAGGGCCTCTGTCCTGCAACTTTTAGATGTGCCTCTGCTGCACCACACCTGAAAAGAATAATTAGGTCATTAGCAAGGCTCAGGAGAACCGATCTACACAGGGAGGAGGTAATTAAGCCATTTCATTCCACTGTTTTTTACCTGTGGCACATCTAAACACTGCAGGACAGCGGCCCTGGAGGACTGGAGTTTGACACCCCTGTCATTGTGAATGACAACCTGAGACCAACAGGTTCATTATTGAGAAGGGTATAAATAATTTTCAACATGCACTTTTTAATGTGTAAAACAATCTTGACGCTTAATTTACTTGGCTATCAGAAACAAATTTCTTGGTTAAAAGTATTTTTTCTTATATTTTCAACTAATTTTTAAAAAACTTCCAGATCTATGAGCTTTTTGGACTTTAATGGATTCTGCCAGCTTTTTGTTTTCACCACTAAACAAATATAAGTAATCATAATCAAATGAAGTGAAAACATATCTAAAATTTCATGAGTTAGAACAAAGACAACTATGCCAAATCACATTGTGGAGCCAGATATTCCTACCATCAGTTGGGAGGAGTAATTCCTCTAATATGCTAATAGTGTAGCTAATGCTTCAATTAGCGGTTTCGCTAACTTTGTTTAGCACACTTAACTTTCCCTTAATGCATTTACTAGATAAATTGCAAAGCTCTAATTTACTTGGCTGTTTTATAAACTTTCAGTCAAATAAAGTTCAACATCTGTACTAATTTTTTGCTTAGCGCTTTAGCATTTTTGCCAACTTTGAAAACATTTAGCACACATAACTTCCACCCAATTAAAAAATTCTAGATAAATTCTGAAATGCTAATTAACTTTGCTGTTTGGCAGTTGAATAAAGTTTAACATCTGTGTTGAAGTTGTGGTTATTGAATTATTCACATACATTATATTCTTTTATTTTGGAAGTGGGTGAAGACAGTTCAGATCAGTTTCCTCTCTCCGGTTGGAAAACTTACCTTTAAAATGCTTGAAAAGTGCTTGAATTTTACTGTGAAAAAATATCACAATATATGTAGTTAGAACCAAAACACATATTTATATATGACTTCCACAAAAAAAATGATTTATTGATTAAAGTTTTATTTTTATTAAAATAATCCTCATTAATTTATTCATAACTGCCAAATATATGTTTAAATAGTTATGGGACTCTTAAAATGTTGATTAAATGTCACACTGCAAAAACAGAAAATTTTACCAAGTATGTTTTAGTTTTTAGCCTGATTAGAAATATATTAACCTTTAATTTGTTTTGAGCTAATAATTTCTTAATATTGATGGAAAAATTTCACTGGGAGATTATTTTAATTATGATGAGGCCTTTTTCCTGTGCTGTAAGTGAAATGATCTGCCAGTGGAAGTATTAATGTTTTCATCAATATTAAGGAGTCAGTGACTTAAAATAAGCTTCTGTTTCTTGCAGAAAGTTACTTGTAGGTTAGTTTAGTCTTATTTGAAGTGTACTAAGACGGTGGATTTTCTGTTTTTGCAGTGCAGTTTCAGTCTGAGCTGGATGTTTAGTTTTCCGTCAGTATCTGTGAGGCTTCATCTGTGTCATGTGGAGGGTAACACGAGGGGGACCGCTGGGATGCCGTTGTCTCTCCTGATAATCTGTATTTATTTTTCTGTGAAGGGTGGAAAATTTGCTGCTAATCCCTCAGGTTTCTGTAAGTGTTTTATCAACCAGAGATTCTTCACCAGATGACACCGGAGATAAGGCGGAGGGAAAGACTCTACGTGATGCCGGACGCATAATCCCGGCCAGGTTTGTCCAGCGGATTTTCCCACTCAGTCAACACCGGAGAACCTCGCCGCTCGCTGTAAGCGTCCCTCTCTTTGTTTGTTTCCAGAAGCAGAGAAAGGTGAAGAGGGGTGACACGCAGCGGTGGTGAGGGTGGTGTTTGTGGCCCTACAGCAGTCTGCCTGATTACATCGCCACACAAGCGTGTCTTCAAAGCCTTCCCCTCCCCACCGCCCAGTTTGACCAGATAAGGGCCCCCTCTCGCTGTGGTTCAGCTGGGGGACAGGAAGACACACGAAGGGGTCAACAGTAGTGCCATCTGCGCCTCATGTTCAGCAAATACTGCACATCTCTGTCAACAGACCGTCTTACTGTACAAACACTTCCTCTGGTGATCCTGCAGCCGGTTTGTTTGATCGCTCCTGTAAGTTTTACCAGGTTGTTTTGATTAAAACGACTTCATTTTGAGCAACGAAGCCGGTGATTAAAACTCTGAAGCCGTCTATAATTTCTTTACATTTTTCTTCCAGGCAAACAGACTTTCTTGTAATCTTTAAAGGGGCGGTATTATGCGTTTTCCAAGTACATAGAGCCGCTAACATAAATCAACATAACATAAATCAAGTAACCACATTAGCTTCATTTGGTATAAAAATGCTACATATATCAAATAAATATGACTTTGTAATTTAATGCCTTGAAATTGGGTCTCTGTCTCTTTAAGAAGCTCCTGCTCTTTCTTAAACTCCGCCTTCATAAAGTCATCATAACATGGCTCCTTAATTAGCCCTTTAACGACGTTTTAACCAGTAGCTCCTATAAGGAGCTCAGCTGATGTTCCACCAGATGTTTGCTGATTCCTGTTGGCTAGTCTGAAGGAGCTAAGTGGGGGAGGAGCTGCACCTAGGAGGCGGGGCTAGGTCCACCCAGCCATTTTATGAGTATGAAAGAATCAAGGCAACACTCCAAGGAAACATGATGTAAAGATAAAAAACGTTTTTACATGAAACTGGCTCCTTAACATTCTCCAGATATTTTAAAGTGACACCGACAAGATGGCAGAACCAAGTATAAGTTGTCAGTAAAGTTTATATTATTCACATAGTTTATTTTTTAGAAGTCGAGTGACATTAAATGCAAACATGTTTCAAAATACTTTTAAAGCTGCAATACGTAACTCGCTTTCATTTATAATGCAATTAATTGATTTATTGCTTATTGGCCTAATCACGCTTACTTCACATTTCATTCTTATTTGGTTCTAAGTGGAAAATCAAGCAGTGCGACACATTCCCAGAGTAAAACTACAGCAGTAGCTGATTATTAAATAAATGGAGAACATTTGATGTTTTTAACATAACGCAGCAGGAGTTCTTTCTTTAATATTTGATAGGTTGTTTACTCTTCAAGAGCAACGCATCAATGAGCCAATCATGAGATAATAACTACGATCTTGGTCTATATCCTGTGTCTCCAAAGTGAGGCTCAGGGGCCATTTGTGGCCGTCGGAACATTCCTGAGGGCCGTTGATCACAGTCCAGACATTTGATGGAGATTTAAAAACAGTGTTGGGATGAAGCAACACAAAGTATTTATCCAAGTTTTTACTTTGAATTTAATTTCTTTTAATACTAAAAGGAGACCAAATAAACAACCTGGGTATTTTAAGTAATTAAGCCATATTCTGTTCTTGTTACTGAAAAGACACAAACAAATCCAGAAGATGAAAAGTTTACTGCATGTTGTGGTTTTTTGTTTTAAATCTACAATGTACATATCTCTCATCTACAGAAATCCTACTGCTTTGCTCATTACATTAAAATATTGTGTGCTTAGTTTATTTTTTATTTTTAAAAAAATAGTTTTTGCTATTAAAATTTTGTGGCTCTCTGAGTTCTTTCAACTTGCCATAAAGTTTGCTCTCCTCACGTCTGCGTTTCAGTAGTTTAACTGTAATCTTCCACTTCCTGCCTCCAAACGACTCCGCCGTGACCTCGCCTGCAAGGTGGTTTCCAGGCTTGGGAAGGTGAGACCTACAGGAGTCAGCCGAGGCCCCCCACAGTCTGAGATTTCTCTAAAAATTTCAATTACATCTGTGGTTTCCAGGGTTTGATGAGTGAACGGCTGACAAGCCGGGACAACAAAGGAGATGGATGCAGTCACTGCGCTGCTGGGTAATAAAATCCGGGAATATCAAAGTCAGCTTAAAGAAAGCTGCGGCGCACAGAGTGAGCTGTTCCCCAAGCATGTGTCAGCGTAGCGAGGGGAAGCTGCCATGTGGGGACTTGAACGGCAGCCAGTGAAAACAGAATCGGCTTTGCATGGAGGAGAAAAGTTACACAACAGAGCCTGTAATACCTGGTCAAACAAACTTGTGACTGTAGGAGGATTTCAGACAATTGAGTTGTTGAAGATTGAAAAGGATCACAAGACTGTGACCAAATAGACTCCTTTTTTCATCTGGGAGAGGCCCGGCTCGCTTCGCCCATTATTAATGATGTCGTGAGTGTGAAACTTTGATTTGTGTGCGGACTAATGGGAAACAAATTGTCTGAGCATGTTTTTGATTTGAGACGGAGGGATTCCTTAATCCTGAACCAAAAGGAAGAAACAGACCTCAGAGATTTGGTTTGGTGAAGAGGGAGAGTGACAAGAACCGGGCCAAACCCTCCACACCCCAAAATGATTACGTCTGGAGCTTTGATTTGTTTTTTGTGGCAGAGATTCAGCATAACAGAAACATCGCTTAGAGACTTCATATCGATGCGTCAGCATCATGCAGTTGCTGCAGGTTTGCCAGCGTTACGTTCACGGTGACGATCTTATGGAAGAAGATTAGGGCCAAAAAAATGAAAATCTGACTAAACTTCTGAGAAAAGTCAGAATCCTGAGCCAGAATTCTAAGTTTAATGTCAAAATTCTATATATTAAAAAAAAACCTTTTAAAAAGTCTAAATTCTGAGAAAAGGTTTGAATTCTGAGTTTAAAGTCTTAATTTTTTGTTTTCCTGTTCATCTTCCATAGGATCTCCATTATGTCCCTCAGATGCTCCGCTGAATTCGTGTCCAGTGACTTTGGACCCGGATGAAGTGTCGTGATCTGTAGCCATCAGAAGATGAATTTCCTGTGGTCAGAAACAAACCCAAGTAGGTTTTGCTATTTAAATATCAACTAGAAACCAAAGAAGAATAATAACTGTACAGGCATGCCTAATACATATGTGAGTGTATATTGTCCTTTGGACAGTCAGGCTTTCTTTTATTCTTATAACAAGGATCTTTTAGTAGTTTATACGCCGCAAATCTGGAACAAACTTCCAGAAAACTGCAAAGTTGCTGAAACACTGAATTCCTTTAAATCAAGGCTAAAACCCCACCTGATTATAGCTGCCTTTGATGAATAACAACTGAAACTTTGATTAATGTTTGATGACAGATACTCTTGGTGAGTTTGATGATGGCATTTGACAAAATATAATGTTTGTTTCTTGTTTTGTAATTGGTTATTGTGTTGGGTAAGGCTGTAATGATTCGACATTAATTTGTAAACTTCCTCCTTAAATTGTGTCTTACTGTTTATTGCGCTGTGTTCAGGTTGGACGATTATTTGTGTTGCGCATTTTGCAACGCTCTCACTTCCACCAATGAGCTGTTGCTGAATGCTAAGTGTTATAAGCATAGACATAATATATATATATATATTAATTATGTCTATTATAAGCAACGATGGAGGTGGAGACAGGAAGCAGCAACGACAAGAAAGAAGCTAAAAGGGTCAAAGTATGGAATTAATTTAAAGTTTAAACTAAGGAGAGAAGATAACAGCTCAGTGCGTTTACTTCAAAACAGAAGTGGCGTTTCACAAAGCAGATCCTTGATCTCATCAGCAGGAAACGCCGCTACTAGCATCGAGCTAATTCTGCTAACAAGTGATGGTTTTGTTCCCTTTTGCAAAAACACTGTTAACTTTTATCTGAGATTGTTGTCAGGCTGGGTGATGTGGCTGAAAAGCGTAGCACGCATTTCATTTCTGTCGATATCGATAGCTATTTATTAGTTTTTTGTTTCAAATATATTAAATTAAATACTGCCAAACTGGTGACGTAGCATAGGTTGTTGCTTGCTAATTGCTTGCTAATGCTTACATTTTAAGAAATAAAAAGTTTTCTTATTTAAAAAAGAACTAAATTGTTTCTTACGAGCATTTTCTATTTAATATATTTATTTTCAGAGGTTAGCTGATTGTTATTCGATTACTTGATTAATTGTCAGAATAATTGATAGATTACTTGATCTGATCGTTACTAAAATAATTGTTCACACCCGTTACGTATTGTTACGTTTTTATCAAGTGAAGCCTTGTCTCTGAAATATACTCTATAGATAAACTTTGCAGTTTAACAGTCGCATGTATATTTTGTTGAAATGTAATCCTGATGAGGCACAGCAGACGAGTCCTGAGGCACACACCACAGCAACCTGGGTCTGGAAGGGTAACATAATATCACAAAATGTTCCTTAAGACGATGAAGTCACGCCGAACGACAGGAAGCATCTGGCTGCAAGCGACCACATGCAGAAAGCAGGACAATAAGGCTGTTTGACTGATGGAGGGAGGACGAGGAGAGGATGATGAAGAGCCACTTGCAGTGCGACTTTAATGATGACAACAGAGCAGAAACACATTTCAGTTTTTATTTTTCCTTCTCAGTTAAACATCAGGATGACTGTACAGTAAGGCGGCTTCAGATACAGGTCTGTGTTTTTGTGTCTGAAAGGGACTGTGTGTGTGTGTGTGTGTGTGTGTGTGTGTGCGGTGAAAGGGTGGAGCTCTGAACAGAGGGCCCCTCTCGCCCAGACTTGAAAAGGCATTCTTTCATCATTGCTAATCTCCCAAACATAAACATGAGAGCATCCACACAATCTCTCTCTCTCTCTCCCTTTCAGGGCCGAACAAGGCGGCGGGGGGGCGTGACCCTCCCAGTACCGGAGGCCAGGGACCGTACGGGCGCGCGGGGGGCCGTGCGTGCTGTTTGTGTTACTGAGAGTCACCGTATCAATCAACATATCAGGTTTATAACAGTTGTGTTAGAGATTTCCAGAGTATTCATGGGTGTGTGTGAGAAAGCGTCTGCGAACTGGTTTTTGATTTAAGGTTTGTGTGTGTGTGTGTGTGTGTGTGTGTGTGTGTGTGTGTGTGTTTTCCTGTGCAGGAAGAGTCTCATCCTCAATGTTTTTCCACATATGTAAGCATGGGAGGTGTAATTGCTTGTGATTTCAACAGAAAATTAAGCTACAAATTGCTCATAGATACAAGACAAAAGGAGAAGCACTATCCTCCAGAGAATCTGTGGATCTGCTGGGAATGAACATGGGACAAGTGACAAGTCACCATTTTGTATTTAAAGAGGCAGAATTATGCGTTGTCCGGTGCTTTGGGGGCCTCTGGACTTGATAAGGCGCTAGACAAGTACAAAGCCTTACCATTTATATATCATAATCAAGTTTTACCTTCAGTTGTTATAAAAATGCAATTTGACTTTGATATTTAACATCTTGAAATTGGGCCTCTGTCTCTTTAAGAAGCTCCTGCTCTTTCTGAAACTCCACCTTCAACATGGCTCCTCTGTTAACCCTTTAACGATGTTTTACCAGTGTTTCACTGAGAAGAAGCTCCTATAATGAGCTCAGCAGTTCCACCAGGTGTTTGCTAATTGCTGCTGGCTGAAGGAGCTGAGTGGGGAGGAGCTGCGTCTCGGAGGCGGAGCTAGGTCCACCGAGGTGTTTTGCTCAGCTGAATGGTTGCCATGGAGATTAAAGGATAAAAGGATTTTTCAAACATTCATGAAAGAATCAAAGCAACACTCAGGTTTGTTTTCAATGAGGGAAAAACAA